AAAAAAAAAAAAAAAGTCCTGGATTGGTGGATGAAGCAATCAAAATTTGAGAGGTCAGGTGGAGTGGGCATGGAGAGCCCCTAGATGGAGAGGGGGATGGGGTGGATGCTCGGATGACTTTTGCAGTTCTCCCAGGGATCTCCAGGAGGCTGGGGGGACCTCCTCCGAGATGGCAACGTGGGAGGGGTGGCTGCTCTGCCAGAGGGTGGAGGTTGGGGGGTGCAGTTCTGCAGAAAGCATAGAGGCTCATGGAGCCCCTTCCCCCTCTGCCTTGACCTCCTCCCACCAGTTCTCTTACGTGGATGCCGACGGGTCCCCAGTGAATGTCGTGCAGCTAAATTTCCTGAAACTGCTGAGTGCCACAGCTCGCCAGAGCTTCACCTACTCCTGCCAGAATGCGGCTGCCTGGCTGGACCAAGCCACAGGTGACCACAGCCGCTCCGCCCGCTTCCTTGGCACCAATGGAGAGGAGCTGTCCTTCAACCAGACGACAGCAGCCACCGTCAGCGTCCCCCAGGACGGCTGCCGGGTAAGAGGGTGGGGCAGTGGCCAGCTGGAGAGGGGAGGCAAGACCTCAGCCACCCTCCCCATAACTCGCCATCCCTGTCTTCTCTGTGGACAGCTCCGGAAAGGACAGACAAAGACCATTTTCGAATTCAGCTCTTCTCGAGCGGGATTTCTGCCCCTGTGGGATGTGGCGGCCACTGACTTTGGCCAGATGAACCAGAAGTTTGGGTTTGAACTGGGCCCTGTCTGCTTCAGCAGCTGAGAGTGTTTGGGGTGGGAGGGACCATGAAGGAGCCCCAAAATGGGGTGCATTTGGTGCTGAGGCTTTGAAGCCACCCTATTTATCGTTACCTGTGACTCTGGAGCCAATGGGATGTGACTTCGCTCATCACGGTCAGTCATTCCTTCTCCTTTCCAGGGCACTGGTGGCTGGGTTTCCCTGGCCCAAAGGTCCAGCCTCCTCCCACCCCATTTCAGGTGGCAAACTGCAGCCTGGCTCTTTCTTCCCTCCCTTCCCACCCAAGCCTCCACCCCCGCCCCTTGAACTCCCATGCAATAAGCTTCTAACTCAGAGCTGATGAACGAATGCCTCCCCCACTCCCCAATGCCTGCCTCCTCACTCCTCTGTCACTGCCTTTCACACCTTTTGGTGCTACCCCTCCCCAGAGTTAAGCACTGGATGTCTCCTGATCCCAGGCTGGGACCCCCCCCCCACCCTCTTTGATCCTTTCTACTTCCATGGTGAAAGGACCGAAGTCAGGCTACAGAGGGAAGCGGGGCTTCCCTTGACTGAGCTGTGTGTTTCTTCTCCTGCCTCAGCCCAGCTCTGCAAAGCCCCTCCCCGTTCTCCCCACCTCCCCAGGCTCACCTTGCCATGCCAGGTGGTTTGGGGACCAAGATGGTTGGGGAGTGAATCAGGATCCTAATGGTGCTGCCCTATTTATACCTGGGTCTGTATTAAAAGGGAAAATACCCCTGTTGTAGATTTCATCTGCTTCCTCCTTAGGGAAGGCTGGGATATGATGAGAGATTCCAGCCCAAGCCCGGCCTCCCGTCCCCAGGCCATAGGGCATAATTTGCCTCTCAAATCTGAGAATAAACTGATGAACTGTGTTTCTGTCTCTGTGTTTCTTTTTTTAAATTTTTTGGTTTTATTTTTGTTTATTTATTTATTTTTGAGACAGAGTCTCGCCCTGTCATCCAGGCTGGAGTGCAAGTGGCACGATCTTGGCTCATTGCAACCTCTGCCTCCTGGGTTCAAGCAATTCTCCTGCCTCAGCCTCCCTAGAAGCCGGGATTACTGGGGTCTGCTACCATGCCCAGCTAATTTTTTGTATTTTTAGTAGACACAAGGTTTCACCATGTTGGCCAGACTGGTCTTGAACCCTTGACCTCAGGTGATCCGTCTGCCTTGGCCTCCCAAAGTGCTGGGATTACAGGCGTGAGCCACTGTGCCTGGCCTTTGCTTGTTTTTAGAGACTGGATCTCACTTTGTTGCCCAGGCTGGAGTGTAAGGGCATGATCCTGGCTCACTGCAGCCTTCAACTCTTGGACTCAAGTGATCCTCCTTCCTCAGCCTCCTGAGTACCTGGGACCACAGACATGCACCATCACACCCAGCGGTGGGATTTTGTTTGTTTGTTGTGTGTGTGTGTGTCTGTGTATGTAGGATGGTGCCTTGCTTTGTTGCCCAGGCTGGACTCAAACTCCTGCCTCAAGCGATCCCCTTGCCTCAGGCTCCTGAGCTGCTGAGATTACAGGCATGAGCCACCTCTCCCAACCCCTGATCTCTTTCATCTGGTGTGTGATATATCTCTCTTGGGGTCTTGCTCTTGTCTCATCTGACGTACCTGTTACTACTTGTGTTAATCAGGTATGTTTTTGAGAATCCAATTGTAATGAGACTCACTGGAGATTACAGGCCTATTTATTCACCCAGGCTCCGAGAAAAAAAGTTGAAAATAGCTTGAGCTGGGAGACCCAAGTCAGCTTAAACCAGAAGTTTGGCCTCTTTATAAGATTTTTTTTTTTTTTTTTGAGGTGGAGTCTAACTCTGTCCCCCAGGCTGGAGTGCACTGGCGTGGTCTCAGCTCACTGCAGCCTCTGTCTTCCGGGTTCAAGTGAGTCTCCTGCCTCAGCCTCCTGAATAGCTGGGATTACAGGCGCCTGCCACCATGCCCGGCTAATTTTTGTATTTTAGTAGAGACAGGGTTTCACCATGTTGATCAGGCTGGTCTCGAACTCCTGACCTTGTGATCCGCCCAACTCAGCCTCCAAAAGTGCTGGGATTACAGGCATGAGCCACCTCACCCAGCATATATATATGATTTTAATTAGCTGCGCATGGAGGAGCATGCCTGTGGTCCCAGCTACTCAGGAGGCTGAGGTGGGAGGGTCACTTGAGCCTGGGAGGCAGAGGCTGCAGTGAGCTGAGATTGTACCACTGTGCTCCAGCCTGGGTAACACCACAGCAAGACTTTGTCTAAACAAAAAAAAATGAGAGTTTGGTTTGGGATGATTTGAATTAGGAATTAGATGTGTTCTTTAACTGATTTTTTTATTGAGATAGAATTCACATACCGTATAATTCACCCATCTAAGCTGTATAATTAAATGGTTTTTAGTACATTCACAGACTTGTGTAACCATCACCACAATCAATTTTAGAGTTTTCATCACCCCCAAAAGAAATCCTATACCCATTAGTGGTCACTCCTCAACTCTTTCCAACCTCCCAGCTGTCGGCAACCACAAATCTGCTTTCTGTCCCTAAGGATTTGCGTATTCTGGACTGAAATGTCCATTTCATACAATGGAATCAGGCTGAGTGATCCCAGCATTTTGGGAGGCCAATGCAGGAGGATGGCATGAGGCCAGGAGTTCCATGCCAGCCTGGGCAACATAGCAAGACCTCATTTCTACAAAAATAAAAAGTAAAAACATTAGTCAGGTACAATGGTGCACATCTGCAGTCCCAGCTGCTTAGGAGGCTGAGGAGGGAGAATCACTGGAGCCCAGGAGTTGGAGGCTACAGTGAGCTGTGCTCATGCCACTGTACTCTAGCCTGGGCAACAGATCGTGACCATGTCTCTAAAAAAAAAAAAAAGAGCCAGGCGCGGTGGCTCAAGCCTGTAATCCCAGCACTTTGGGAGGCCGAGGCGGGTGGATCAC